ACTGGAGCGGTCTGGCATGGATTTCCTTTGGGCACAAAGTATATCAAATTTGATTAGATTATCGATTGCAAGATTTTGCACTAAAAAGGTCATTCCAACCATTTGACCAAAATGGGCTAACAATGGGCACTTGCTTCAAAAAATATTTATTTGCAAAATTTATAAAATAATTGCATACAACCTACTGGGTTTAGTATAATCATGCACACATAACATCACTTTGACTAGGTCTGTGCTTCGTCATATATGGGTCACAAGTGTACTGAAAGTACTGGATCGGTCTGGCATGGATTTCCTTGGGCACAAAGTATATCACATTTGATTTGACTATCGATTGCAAGATTTTGCACTAAAAAGGTCATCCCAACCATTTGACCCAAATGGGCACTTGCTTCAAAAATTATTTTTTTGCAAAATTTATAAAATAATTGCATACAACCTACTGGGTTTAGTATAATCATGCACACATAACATTACTTTGACTAGGTCTGTGCTTCGTCATATATGGGTCACAAGTGTACTGAAAGTACTGGAGCGGTCTGGCATGGATTTCCTTGGGCACAAAGTATATCAAATTTGATTTGTCTATCGATTGCAAGATTTTGCACTAAAAAAGCCATCCCAACCATTTGACCCAAATGGGCTAACCATGGGCACTTGCTTCAAAAAATATTTTTTTGCAAAATTTATAAAATAATTGCGTACAACCTACTGGGTTTAGTATAATCATGCACACATAACATTACTTTGACTAGGTCTGTGCTTCGTCATATGGGTACCAAGTGTATTGAAAGTACTGGAGCGGTCTGACATGGATTTCCTTGGGCACAAAGTATATCAAATTTGATTTGACTATCGATTGCAAGATTTTGCACTAAAAAGGCCATCCCAACCATTTGACTCAAATGGGCTAACAATGGGCACTTGCTTCAAAAAATATTTTTTTTGCAAAATTTATAAAATAATTGCATACAACCTACTGGGTTTAGTATAATTATGCACAAATAACATGACTTTGACTAGGTCTGTGCTTCGTCATATATGGGTCACAAGTGTACTGAAAGTACTGGAGCGGTCTGGCATGGATTTCCTTGGGCAAAAGTATATCAAATTTGATTTGACTATCGATTGCAAGATTTTGCACTAAAAAGGCCATCCCAACCATTTGACCCAAATGGGCTAACAATGGGCACTTGCTTCAAAAAATATTTTTTTGCAAAATTTATAAAATAATTGCATACAACCTACTGGGTTTAGTATAATCATGCACACATAACATTACTTTGACTAGGTCTTCGTGCTTCGTCATATATGGGTCACAAGTGTATTGAAAGTACTGGAGCGGTCTGGCATGGATTTCCTTGGGCACAAAGTATATCAAATTTGATTTGACTATCGATTGCAAGATTTTGCACTAAAAAGGTCATCCCAACCATTTGACCCAAATGGGCTAACAATGGGCACTTGCTTCAAAAAATATTTTTTTGCAAAATTTATAAAATAATTGCATACAACCTACTGGGTTTAGTATAATCATGCACAAATAACATTACTTTGACTAGGTCTGTGCTTCGTCATATATGGGTACCAAGTGTATTGAAAGTACTGGAGCGGTCTGGCATGGATTTCCTTGGGCACAAAGTATATCAAATTTGATTTGACTATCGATTGCAAGATTTTGCACTAAAAAGGCCATCCCAACCATTTGACTCAAATGGGCTAACAATGGGCTTCAAAAAATATTTTTTTTGCAAAATTTATAAAATAATTGCATACAACCTACTGGGTTTAGTATAATCATGCACAAATAACATTACTTTGACTAGGTCTGTGCTTCGTCATATATGGGTACCAAGTGTATTGAAAGTACTGGATCGGTCTGGCATGGATTTCCTTGGGCACAAAGTATATCAAATTTGATTTGACTATCGATTGCAAGATTTTGCACTAAAAAGGTCATCCCAACCATTTGACCCAAATGGGCTAACAATGGGCACTTGCTTCAAAAAATATTTTTTTGAGAAATTTATAAAATAATTGCGTACAACCTACTGGGTTTAGTATAATCATGCACAAAAAACATTTCCAAAAAGTGTTTTTTTGAAGCAAGTTGCCTTTGTTCACCTAAAGCGCTTCAAATGGGAATGGGGAACGAAAAAGGTTATTTAGAATAAATTATTGATGTACAACCTACTACATTCTGTATAACCCTTCATAAATATCACTAATGAGCCTCGGTTCATGATTCGTCAAGTAGGTACCAAATATACTGGAATGACTTGGCGGTTTGCTATCGATTTCCTTGGGCATAAAAGTTATGGACTCAAATATGACTATCCATTGGGAGATTTTACACCAAATGACTAAAATTTTTTTGCAAATTTTATTGAGTATCTACAGTGGCACCACGTTCAGAAAGTCCCTTACAGGGCGAGCCCGAGGGGGCTAGAAATTTAGACTGTACATTCTCATGCAAAATTGATATAAACAAGTACGCCATAACGCCCGTGCTATATGAGTTGCATAACATCAAGAGGAAGAGGAAACAGTAAAATTATTAATTTTATTTCAAATTATTACAATCACATTGAAATTAATAACGCTCACATTGACTAAATTAACACACAACGAATTGTACAATGTACATTGTCAATAAATTGATCTGTCGTAGGAATGTTATTTGCTTCTTAACCAAGAACGTATCACTTCCTTACGATTATTCATCGTTGGCGGCTTATTTATTTGAACACTACGGTAAGGTGCGTTATCCATAACCACAACTGAGTTTGCTGGTAAATTTTGTATAAGCTGCTTCTCTAACCACTGCATAAAGTTGGTAGGATTCATATCGTCGTGATAATCCCCCGATTTACTGTGCGACATCCTGTACAAAACCAGAACGACTACTAGCATACTACGATGTACCTCTGACCAGCCCTATTGGATTTATAAACTTCCGATACTTCATCTGATTGTAGGCATTTACTCACTCCGTACGATGGGTGAATATAGGTTTCGTCCAAGTATATAACGGGTCTTTTGTCACATTCAGGTGTTCGTTTTCTTTTAGTGTTAAATAACGAGAACACCATGTTACGATGCCACTTCTTTCCATTAACAACCTGCGTTTTTCATAACACTTTTTGTATCGAAAACCAACAATTGCTTGTGAGGAGTTTCCCTTCCATCCGTATAGTCGAGGTTTAAAACTCCCAACGATCTGCTTCTTTTTATCGATCAAATAATTCGACTAATTTACGAATTATATTACGAGGTTCATTGTGAACAAGTTTTCTCTCCAAATTCATGATTTAGGGCTTCTATAACAATGTTTACATCAATTAGATACATTGGTAAGGTTAGGTACAGTTTTACATCTAAAAACACTTTCAGGGAACTACATACCTTATAAGATCGTAGATCCAAGCTATATGAGTCTTGAAAAAGGCGAGTTTGTATAAAACTGGAGGCGTATGTAATTACTGATGTCATTAAAGTAGCATACATGTAGTTACAGTAACAAACATAACCTATAAATAACCTATAAAGAATTATTTGTTTAAAACCCCCATTGAAAAAAACTTTCGCCGCTCGTGTACTTGAAATTCGACTACACTAACATGGTAGAATTTATATGTTCCTGTAGCCAAACTTTTGTAGTCAAATATGCCTCAGTTTACCACGACTAGTGTATCAACTTTGACTACGTAGCCAAACTTGGCATTATGTAGCCGAACTTACCTTTTTATACGAGAAAGTGTAGCCAAACTTAACCGATAACATATATATATATATATATATATATTATATATATATATATATTATATATATATATATATATATATATATATAGATTTAAAAAGCGCTAAGGTGAGATCATTTTCACATATATTGCAGATAAGGTGAGATCCATTTGGTAAACCCGAGATCCGTTTTCGGATCTCGCCTTTTTTATTGTGTATATCGAGTCTATTAGCTCGGTCGATCATACAGGAAGCTAAATTTCAATTTTCGCCCGGATCTCAACTTTTAGGTTTTTGTCAAAATTTATACACGCGAAGTTCTTGAGTGACCATCTTATGGGGCGCTGCTTACGTTATATATAATACGTTATATTTTAAATAAAGTGAGATCCAAATAAACGGCAACATTGTAAAGCGGTACTCTCGCTTTAAAGTGCGATAGCAAATAATGAAAGAGGTAGCTGTACTATGTGCGCTATAACGTAAATAATTTGTTATCTGCTACCTCGTATGTATTATTCCTAATCCACGTTACGTTACAAGGGCGGATTTGTATTAAAGAGATTAAACTGGTGGATTGAGGAGAAATGTAAAATAACGTTTAGTATATTTTAGTAAGCGCATTAAATTAATAAGAGGGTCATAATGGATTCTAAGGGTATCGTAACTATAAGCTGGAACACACCTACCACGGTGCCCAATAAGGGAATTTGGTACACTTTCGATGACCACTTGTATTTTAATCAAAAGATGTCAAAATCGTTATTTCTATACCAAGCTCATCGGGAAAAGAACCAATGATATTACAGCGCTGTCTAAAAAGAGAATTTGGTAAATTGTTTATGATTGATTTTACCAATTAGGTACCGTACGCATTTAGGCAGAACGTACCACGTATTAACCATACGGCAAAAATTGGCCGTTCTGATTGGACCACGGCGAAACGCGGTACGTTTTGTCCAAGTTGGGTCCTAACGCGGTACGGTTTGTCACCGCTTTGGTTTTATCCTGATTTCTTTGGGTTTGGTGTTTACACATGATTGCTGGATAAGTTCGTTATTTTTGAACCGAAATTGTCACCTCCATAATTTCAACCAATTTGACTAACCAAGGCATCTTTCTTCAAAAATGATTTTTTTTGCAGATTTCGTTACGAAATACTGAACAACCTAATAGTTTACATGTAATCATAAGCAAATAACTTTAGAGTTCTTGTGATTGCTTTTTACCAACCATGCACCATACGAGATAAGAAAGCAATTTGATAAAGAGTTCTTTGGATTTGGTATTTATACATGATTGTAGGATGAATTAGATGTTTTTGAACCAAAATGGCCACCTCCATGGTTTGAACCAATTTGACTAACCAAGGCATCTTTCTTAAAAAATGAACTTTTTGCAGAGTTCGTTACGAAATACTGAACAACCTAATGGTTTACATGTAATCATAAGCAAATAACTTTAGAGTTCTTGTGATTGCTTTTTACCAACCATGCGCCATACGGTACTGGAAAAGAGATAAGAAAGCAATTTGATAATGATTTCTTTGGGTTTGGTGTTTATACATGATTGGAGGATGAATTAGATGTTTTTGAACCAAAATGGTCACCTCCATGGTTTGAACCAGTTTGACTAACCAAGGCATCTTTCTTCAAAAATGAACTTTTCACAGATTTCTTTACGAAATACTGAACAACCTAATGGTTTACATGTAATCATAAGCAAATAACTTTAGAGTTCTTATGATTGCTTAACCAACCATGCGCCATACGGTACTGGAAAAGAGATAAGAAAGCAATTTGATAATGATTTCTTTGGGTTTGGTGTTTATACATGATTGGAGGATGAATTAGATGTTTTTGAACCAAAATGGCCACCTCATGGTTTGAACCAATTTGACTAACCAAGGCATATTTCTTCAAAAATGAACTTTTTACAGATTTCATTACGAAATACTGAACAACCTAATGGTTTACATGTAATCATAAGCAAATAACTTTAGAGTTCTTGTGATTGCTTTTTACCAACCGCACCATACGATACTGGAAGAGATAAAAAAGCAATTTGATAATGATTTCTTTGGGTTTGGTGTTTATACATGATTGTAGGATGAATACCTATGCATGAGCAATTTTGAAGCATTTCAGATAATGTCAAAAAATTATTACATTAATTATAATGGCAATTGTACCTTGAAAGTGAGTTTGAATTGGGTCCTTCAATTCAAAGATGTAGACTTATACACCGCTATCAGCTGTTAGGAAAATAAAATAATCATTTCCAACGGGAACTCTTTCCTTTAATAAATAGCTAATCGTTAATATTTATCATCGATGTAAAATAGAGTATTACACTAGGTATTATTTAATTAAATGTTATAATATATGCTTGTTTAGGTATCATTTAGCTACTTTTTCATGAAAAAAAAATAGAACCAATGCATTTAATTTTGAGAAAATTAACCATTTCTGTCCGAATGTCGAGAAAAAGCCCTCAAGCGGTGATATGTGAAACTAACAAAACTTCAAAAAGTATAATATTTGTAGCTGAAGAATAGCTCTTTTGAACTAACCCAAGTTTGTTAAAATCGGCTCAGTCGTTTCGAAGATACAGGGTGTTTTTTACGGAAACCTTTGAATACACCCCACCACTTCATTTTTAGAGATACAGGAAAAATTGTCAAACAAAAATTGTTCAGATTACCGTCAACTTCAAAGACTGGACATTTTTTTGTTAGGTTAATATAGCGGAATTCACAGAAACATCACTTTTTTAGATTCCAGATTGCAATTACGCCTCCTAGCGGCCATTTCAGAAACTTATATTTTCTAGGTTTTGCTCGTGGCCGTTTTAGTAATAAATTTTTTTACCACAAGCCTCTACGATGGATAGATTCTCAGATGCAGTACCTCGCATTCTTAGTTGGCCACCCTGTACAATTCAAGAACCTGGACAATTTCTTTGATAATTTTGCGTTCATTGGCTAATGGCATCTTATTTTGAAAAACCTTTGATTTGACAACATCGGTACTGCATAGTGGGGCAGGACACGCTGTATAGAAACCTTGCAAGTAATAAAAGTATCATACGACGACAAATTTCAAATAAAGGAAGTTATTGTATTTCAAAACGTTATTCATTTAGCGTGAGTATAATATCTCGGGCAAGTATAAAAACCATGTTGGTTGAATGTACGAGGGTTTTTACAAAAATTTTAGTAATAAAACACATTAGACATTTGTGAATGGTGTTTTGATAACAAAGTTTATCTTAGAAGTCCCACAGGAGCTAAGTTTTGATTATTCAAAAATATACTATAATGTTCGTTGAAACTGTAAAAATTAGCAATAAGTTATTCAGTCCTACAGATGTAACACCCCGAAAAGTAGTTTTTTTACGGCCTTATTAATCTCGGATTGTCTGAACCGTTTCAATAATAAAGCAAACCTATTAATTCCTGGAGGGTGTTTTGAGGATCCACAATTTCTGGCAAGAGGCAATTGAAATAAACCCCTAAGGCCCTAAAGCAGATCTAAAAAAGCTTACAACCTAATTGGTTCCGCAAAAAGATATTTTAACCACAGGTTCGATGGGTATTCGATAATCGGTTAGATTTTGAAGATGTAAGTCAGGCATGTCAAAAAACGCGGCCCCCATATGTCGCTTGTGGCCCGCCGTTTACAATCTGCGACCCGTCACGATGTTTTGCAGATTATAAAATTGAAATATGAATTGAATTGTACCGCATGCAGGGGCGGGCTGGCACAGGGGGGGGGGGCGATTGCCAACCTATCTGTAGATCATAATGACCCGTTGGAAATTATAAGTATGTGCTGTATTTGTTTCTTGCACTATTAATAAATTATTAACACGTTTCTCTAATTGGGGTTGATGTTAGGTTGTTAAAAAAATTTCTGGTTTTAATTGAAGTGTTTTACAATGAATTTATCATTTTTTGTCGTAGCATGAAAGCTGCTGAAATACAATGAGAGGCGACCGCACCTCGTGTAGATTGTATTATTGGCTGTACTTTTAATTATCAGCTGCAATTTAAAAAAAAACTGTATGTAATTTATTTTCGAGAAAGGAGTACTTAAAATTGTTTTGGGTGCACCTCAGAGCTACCCAGCCACCTTCATTACTACGACTAATACTTATAATTGGCCCGTAACTATGAATTCCACCTGGCCCGCAGTTTCCCAGTTCCGCCCTGACCGCCTGGTTCTATTGTGCGTTGAGAATGTCAGCGTGTTTTTAAAGATAGTTAAGTTTGCGACTTTTTCTCGACCCTTTTTTTGTGAAACCACAACAAAATCCAATCTAGCTTTGTTTCTGAGATACAAAGGTGAAAAAGTTGAAAACGAAAAGTTTCACTTTTGAATTGATATCGTATCTGACTATCCATGTAAGATAGAAATAGGAAAAAACTGTTTATTTTAGATACTGTTACGTTAGGAATTCCAGTGGCGTAGGCAAAAAAACTTTGGACCACCGTTTCTGAGGGTCTGAGCCCAAAGTTGGCATTTTTATATATTGGACATCCCTGTATATCTTAACGTCAATTGTTTGCAGTCCTTTTCCTTGATTACATTTATGCATCACACTCACAAACCGTGATATTTTTTTTATCAATGAAAATTCAATTTAAAACCCACTGATTTTTACTGTTTTTTAAATAGTATGCCATTGCATTCCGTACGCGTCAACTCGCCCAAGGGCCGACTTCGCCAACGGGGACAACTCGCCAACGCGACAATTCGCCAAACGCGACAACTCGCCAACGGGACAACTCGCCACCGCGACAATTCGCCAACGCGACAACTCGCCAACGAAATATTTTTCCCTGTTTAATGTTGTTCGTTCAAATAACGATGTGATTGTCAAATTTCCTGTTCAAATAATAATTTGCAGAATTACATCGTTATATCAAAATTGCAGAATAGGAAACAGGTATAGGCGGTTGGGTCTTCATTCAAATATTGACTACAATTTTTCGATAAACTTTGTTTACAAAATTAGGGGAATGCATTTTGTGGGATGCATTTTGTATGACACATTAAACAGGGAAAAATATTTTCGTTGCGCGGTTTGATCGCAGTGGCGAGGTCGTCCAGTTGGCGAGTTGTCGCATTTGGCGAGTGTCGCGCGTGGCGATTTGTCCACGTTGGCGAGTTTGTCGCGTTGGTGAGTTGTCCCGTTTGGCGAGTTGTCGCGTTGGCGAGGTTCTGTCCCGTTGGCGAGTCAGTCGTGGCGAGTGGGTAGTGGCCAGGTGGCGAGTCGCCCTGTTGGGCCGAGTTGACCGTGTCCCATGGAATCATGGAGATTTTGTTTGTTTATTGTATCCACGTAACTAAGGGACTCGATACCAATCAAGATGTAATCACTAAAAGAATGCAAAAAATGGACGTTAAAATATACAGGGTGTTGCATTGAAAAATTCCAAGTTTAGGTCGAATCACAGAAATTGTTTTTTACCTACGCCACTGGATTCTACGTAAAAATATCTAAAATACGCAGTTTTTATCTTTTTTCTATCTTACAGCGGTAGTAAGATATGATTCATCCCAAAATGTCAAACTTTTCGTTTTCACCCTGTAACTTAGAAACAAACGTAGTTGGATAGATTCTGTAGGACACTGTACGTGTACATTTTCTTGAGCTGGTACTAATGATTTTATGATTATTTCTATTTTTTCGTTTTATTGTATTATTATTTTGTATACTTTTTATGTTAATAATAAAAAATCAAAATTTTCTTAATGTAAACTTTTTTATGATGTGCCCGCAGCTATCTGTGGAAACCTTAAAATGGCCCTTGATGATAACATCCTGATAACATTTTTTATTTCCGCATTTATCTTTTCTAACTTTTGGACGAATAGGGCTTTTTGAGATTGATATCTCTGGGTTTGCTATTTCAGCAGCTAATGGACCATATTCTTCAATACCAAATCAAAGTTAAGAATTTTTGACGTTATTTTCTTTACCGTGTAATCTTTGCTTTGGCTTATATTTGAATTACTATGTGGAATCCCTCTCGAATAACATTATGCGAACTTTTACCTTTATATAGCAATCCTTACGCCATCTAGGTGTTCACATTATAACCCGATCCTTTATTTGCGATATAGTTTTCTTTTAAAAAACCTTTTGTCTAGTTTTCTGTTGATTGGCGCGGTTATTCTTCTCCCACTCACTGTCGATGCGCGCAATCCTTGTTGAAGAACTCGATTCGATCTTGACTTGTATTTGAACTACACGCCATTACACTTACTTGACATATTCGTCTACCTTTATTGGGATTTAATTAGTGGTGTTGTACTAAAATTAGTGAAGTTTTCTCTTATCATCTTACTTCCACATTGCTGCGGATTTATTTTACAAGTTTAAGGCCGTTTTGCGGCTACTTTCGTACTCCCTAAGTTTTCTTACTTCTTATTTTGGTTTTACCAATTGCTTCCTGACTGAACATTGAAATTTTGACGTGGAAACGCAAATACCCGATTTTCCATATGGTACAATAGAATTCCATTGAAGTTTCGACGCCATTACAATCAAAAACGCTCTACATATTTCTACCTTACCGACTGAAGAATTGACTGAAGAATTACCGCCATTTCATGTGAAACCGATATTTGAACTGATGACCCAATTTTACGAAGTTCGTTGACCTACGATTCATTCTTCCGAAACGCAAGTACTTAATTAACGAGACGTGTGGAGTTGATACTGTGTAAATTTTTAATTAACGTTATGTATTTTGGTTTGAAGAACTTGCTGTGTAAGTTTGCTTTCTTTTGAATTGATAAGATTGCTTTGTCATTGAAGATAGATTCAATTATTTTATTTGTACATTTTATAGTATTTTTCTCTTAAAACTTCATGTCACTTTTTGATATCTCACACCGATTGTGAAAACCAACCCTTAGTCGAACCAAATTTTGTTTTGTTGTAAAGTCATTTGAATTTTTGATTCTTTTTAGTATTGACTGCAATTCTACGTACAAGAATAACCATTCGTGTCTTACGTTAACCATTGCTTATGCGATATATTGTGCAACGCGAATCACTACCCTTCTTATATTTTTTTTTGTTTTTGTGTCTGACTGTTTCAGATTTGCAGTTTCGCGTCCTCTGAGCTCGGAAGGTTGCGACCGGAGTTCAAGGTAAATTTAGTTATTTTCGTCGTTTTTCCCTTTTAACGTTTGATTACATTTTGGTTGTTGATACTAACGAGTTGTGACTATTACTTTGTTTGAAAGTCACTTAATGATTATAGCTCCGTTGTTTCTGCGGAGGGCTTTTGGATAAATATTTTCCCAGGCTACGTGTTGGCTTCTAATTTGTTTTATTAGAGATTATTTTAAATTCCCAGTTTGATATACTAGATCGGTATATTACAGTGTCAGATTTGTGATATTTTGAGATCTTTGTTTTTAAACTACCCGCATTTATACATCAAATACTGTTTGTTTTCCCCATAATTGTGTATTCCTTTGAGTTTAGTAAGACGAGAACAAGGATCTCTTGGTCTGCCTTGTTCATCCCTTTAGTATTCCTCTCTCTCTAAATTCATCAAAGACTAAGTGGCGCCTATCCGGATTACTTTTACTGTTTCCTTCCCTTTTTGGCTTATTTGTGTGTGTATAGAAGAACCCCATTTTCACCCCGACCCACCTCTACTTTGCCTGAGTTTACCGTGTGCTTATCTAAGGTAATTTTGTCACGTTGGCCCAAAGTGAACGTAACAAATTATACACCACAAATAATCTTCATGTGTAAATAAACTAAACCTTTTAATAGGAAAGTTGAGTTTTTATTATTAGGGTAATAATATTACAAAGACAAACAGTTATCAGTACTGTAGTTTGAATATCGAAGGTGCAGTTCAAATAAAAAATGCCTTATTATACCTGAAAAAATTTAGGAACCTTATTTTTTACACAATCCTCGTACATACAACTACGTCAACTGCTTATCTACCTATTAAATAGCAAAGGAATAAATCTGTAAGTATTTGTACTTGATTCGCGTACTCAACACCAAATAAATAGTTAAGAAGTACTTAGTTCAGAGAAATACTGCGTATCTGCACCACTCACCTAAATAAAAATAGGGGTCAGTTATCTGCGCATATCCAACGTGTTGATGTACTCATAATCCACCAACATAAAGAGGAGAAATCTGTAGATTATTGAAGAATGAAGATAACTACGGTGGGTTCGTTCATTCGTTGTACCCTGTCCTCTAACAGAGAAAATGAATACTTTCGAAATTTCACTAGGGATTGCGTCTTTAATAAAGCAAATTTAGTTTCCTCAAATTTTTCCTACTTGTAGGCAACCCGTTATACTTATTTGCTGCAGCTGCGTTTACTTAATTTCCATTTAGTTAGCAATCTGTTCTTTAGGTATATCTGTGCTACTAGATAAAGATTACATGAAAAGTGACTTACCGATGTTTTCGACGCCGAGCGCGTTCGCCTTCGATTCCTTACTTTTATCGTCGCGCGTGCAGACGTCCCCCGTGTTCTTCCACCAGCGATCGTATAAAATTTGTATAACCCCCTTCTCTTGCAGCTCGAGGATCGCGAGCGAAATCTTATCTCTCCACGGGCTTCCCTTAGGCGTAGCGATACCGTAACCTTTCGAATCTAAAAGACCGCCGATTTGCGTTAAGTTGCAATCTCTTTGAACCGCGTAATCGATCATAGTCGACTCCATTAGAAACGCGTAGTTCCCCTCGAGAACCTTTTGTATTCCCTCCTCGTAGGTCGATACGAATACTGACGGCAAACGGCTCTCCATAATCCTCCACATCTTTTGATAGATCTCAATTTTCGAATCCTAAAATCCGACCGTTTTAGTACAACAAAGGGCACTCGTGCGCGAACTCACCCTAAAAAACGTCATCGTACTTCCACCCTCGAGCGTTCCGTAAGAAATTTCTGTCTGCTCCGCGAGATCCTGTGCGGTTTCAATGGGGGTAATCATGCGTTCGACCGTTAGAAACGCCGCCAAATTGGCGGTGTACGACGAAATAATGATTAAGGTAAAAAACCACCATATACCACCTACAATCCTCGTCGATGTGGCCTGAAAATTGAACATTCGCGCTTCAAAGGCAGTCAAAATGGTTTCATGTTCATTTTTCAATTTGTAACTTCAAAGTAACAAAAAGGAGAGGGAAAAGGTTCAATATTCGCTAATGGAGATCGACGAAATTTACATACGAGCTGATTGTTTACCGCTAGCGTAAACTACTGGGGAGTGGTACCTTTAAATTCAGGTTGGACTCTTGCTGCATTAAGCTTCCGATTGTAAACCAAAAGCTGTTTAAAATATTGAAATCGTTTTCGAACCAGCCCGGGTACTCGCCGTCGTAGTAGTGCGTACAGACGTCGTCGTCTTCTTCGTCGATCGAGGCGACGTCGCACTCGATGCCCGACGAGCCCGAGGCGGATTCGCGCCTGCACGCCTCGTGGAGGTGATCGTAATAGCAATCGTCGCACAGTTCCGGCGCGTTCCACTCGCGCGGCGAGAATCTCGCCACGATCCAGATGCACATGGACACGGTCACGTAGGCCAGAAGTATGTACGTCCAGATCTCGATCGCTAGCGGATTTAGGAACGAGAAGAGCTGCGCGGGACGCTTTTCTTTGTTCTTAAGATGAAAGAGTAAAATCGCGTGTCAGACATTCTCATTTACCATAGTTGTGAATGAGGAGAAGGTAGGTATCGTTTTTTTGCTTTGAGCCTCACATAGTAAAATTATTTGGTTTTTTCCCTGTAACTTAAGCACTCTGATTTTTTAATTAAAAAAATTCCTGATGTGATTCTGGCTAAGGATTCCAAAACTCGTGTGTAAATCTGGGGCACAACGATTCAGATGACCCTTGAAAAAGTAATGGTTCACTTAATTACCAAGCGCCATTTGGAATGGGTGGTAATTAATTCGAAAAAATAGGTAGGGATTCATCCGGGGAGAATTTTGGGAGATTCGGGTTTTGCGTACGAAAGTGACCGCAGCGAAAATTCGTTCTGGTGGTCGGAGGGTGAAAAACTTTGTATCCACCATAGCGTTAAGTCGTAAAAAAGTTAAGAGACTCATTTAACGGTGCCAAAAAGTCATTAACAAAAAGTGGGATGCTGGCAAACTGCACCACAAGCGGAAATATCGTTTATTTGCGATTAATCAATGTTCAATGCCCGTTAAAATACCGTACCAAAATTCTGGTATGAAAACCATCATCTCCCAAGAATGTTTTATATACAGGGTGTTTCATAATCGAATTTAAATATTTAAGGAGGGGATTTTTGGGTCCATTTTAAAAAGAAAACTTCATTATGATCTTAACTTTTGAGATACAGGGTGGTGAAGTTTTCAAAAATAAATCAATTATTATTAATATCTGTAATACCACAAAAAAATATTTTCTTTTTTTACCGCGTGTCGGATTGAAAAAATCAAATGATCAAATCTGCTCATAAACGAAAATATTTTTTTCTCTGCACGGTGATATTGTCATATTAACGATATTGTCATGATCATGCAGAGAAACGGTTTTTATTTTTTTAAGTGAAAACCGTGCATCGGATTGAAAAAAACATAGGGATCAAATTTGCTAAGAAATGATTGGGGATTTCAAGAATAATTTTTATTTTCAGAAAAATCAGTGGCGTACCATCAATGTCTGCCAAAATGGGCATATGAAAATCCGTACGAACGTCACTGGTGGAAATTTTAAAAAATGTGAATACGTGAAATTGGATTTGTTCAAAATAGGTTTTTCATTTAAAGTTCAAAAAATAATTTCCGTGTAAATGGGTTCAAGTTGATTAGTCGTAAGGTGCGTGAGTACGACTTGGTTTTTTACAATGTAGGGAATCCGACCATTGTTGAGTGCGATGTTTGTATTACTACACGGGTGGTGTTCCAAGTTCGCTTTTTTCGAGTCGGTTACATCGCAGTTACTTCCAGTTTAGAGTTTGAACTTGATTTTAGCTGGGTTGCAGTTGGGTGAGGCAAAACGTAAAGAGTAATCTCATTCTTTGGCATGATTTCTTAAAAATGTTTGCGTTCCGTGGGCGAGCGGTCCCTAAATACGTCCCTGACTGCGTTCCCGATTGCGTCGCCAGGGAATCGTGAGATATGGCGATTTTGTTTGACCCGCGGTTATCGGGATTGTCACGTAGCGTTGGTTCCGCAAATCAGTCGGAAATTACTCCATGTTGAGTCTATTCCAAGCAATTCGATTGGTTGCGTAAAGCTAGTTTGTTGGAACAAGTTTGCGTCTAGGATGGACGTGGCTAAACAAAATTGGTTGTTCGAAGAGAAATGTCAAGCAATTGACGTGGAGTCGCCAGCGCAGTTAAGTCTATCACCTGTAAATTACCGTAGGGTAGTTTTATTTTGGGCGAAATTCGCGTCCAACCGGAAGACAATTGGCGTCGAGCCGCGAGAGAATTCGAGTCAAATCGCGAGAGTTTAATATATTTAATGAGTCCTTAAAGGTGTTCTAGCAACTTTTATGGATCCTTGAGGGTGATTTTCACAGTCACTTTTATAAATCTTTGAGAAAAAGGTCTGTAACATTGTTCGAGAGTTTTAGGTTTATGTTTTTAGAAACAACGGCTTTTTCTTGATGCTGTCTTAGCTTAATTAACTTAATTTTCTAATTAAAAAATAAAGATCACAATTTATCATTTAATTTCAACTGGCCGACATTCCCATGCTTCAATTATGCTTTAAAACAGCTTTACTATTCGTGACATAATTACACTGACTACAAATTAAACACACTTTAACAATAATTTTTCTATGTATTCTGCTTTAATAATTGACGATTTAAATTGATCTTTGTGACATACCTAATACCGGAACATAATATGTATTGATTTTATTATAGTTTTCACGCAAGAATATTTCTATTTTTAATTCTATTACTTATCGTCTAACGTTTTACGACCTAAAATCTTGGAGAGACCACACACCACAGAATTAGTGTTTAACTTGAGACATTATTTTGGTAGTTTGTGTGCGTTAAAAGGTGTTTTTTAAGACAGAATTTGAAATGTGTCCCATAATCGCAATGTGCACATTTAAAATCTTTAGACAGTTTATGGGTTAAAAGGTGATGTTTAAAGTGGTATTTGTTACTTGTCTCGTAATCGCAATTAACACATTTAAATTCTTTAGAATCGGTATGCTTCAAAACGTGTCGTTTAAAGTTCTTTTTGTAATTTGTCTCGTAATTACACTTGGCACATTTCAAATCTTTAGAATCGGTATGTTTTAAAAGGTGCCGTTTAAGATAGTTTTTATAATTTGTTCCATAATCACAATTACCACATTTAAAATCTTTAGACTCGGTATGTTTTAAAAGGTGTCGTTTAAAGCTGGGTTTATGATTTGTCTCGAAATCACAATTAGCACATTTAAAATCTTTAGAATCGGTATGATTCAAAAGGTGTTGTTTAAAATAGTATTTGTTGTTTGTCTTATAATCACAATTGGCACATTTAAAATCTTTAGAATCTTTGTGTGTTAAAAGGTGTTGTTTAAAGTGGTATTTGTCACTGGTCTCGTAATTACAATTGCCACATTTAAAATCTTTGGAATCGGTGTGTTTTAAAAGGTGCCGTTTAAAGTTCTTTTTGCAATTTGTCTCATAATCACAATTAGCACATTTAAATTCTTTAGAATCTGCATGATTTAAAAGGTGTTGTTTAAAGAGGTATTTGTTACTTGTCTCATAATTACACTTGGCACATTTATGATCTTTAGATTTGGTATGTTTTAACAGGTGTCGTTTAAAGTTAGATTTGAAACTTGTCTTGTAATCACAACTAGCACATTGTAGCACATTACGTGTTGCACAGCCTCCTGAAACCTCATGCATTAAAAGATCTTGTTTAACTTGCAGCTTGCTATGTGTGGTGTGTTGGTCGAAGTCACATTTAAAATTCGTGGAAATTTCACTTTTAATATTCCATCCAGGATCAGTTTCATTATCGAGCGATTTGGAGCATTGTGCAGTAATGGTAATTTCGTCCTTTATTGTCACCAATGCTTCGTTGCTTACTAAAATATCTTCTTGAAGGTGGGAATCCACTTCTTCTTCATGTTTTGGTTCGATTTTAATGAGTGGTACATCATTTCCATCCATATCTTTCATCATTCGCAGGTAATTGTATGGAATTGAAGCTATTATGGCTGTAGCTCAAGTAGCGGCAAATGTCAGTTTACAGGCAAATTAGCGTCCCACTCCAGTGGCGTACCAATGGGTTTAAGATTGGTTTATTTGTTGTCACGTACGTAGTTGTGATTCGTGTAGGTACTTTTGCGCGATACGATCTCTCGTGTAGCATAATAGACACCGCGCATCCTGACACCACACGGTTTGCTAGATTTCATAAGTTTTCTAAATATTCAATCACAAATTTCTCCATTTTGTTGTACACGGTGAGTCAAGGATTGCGTGGAGTAACTTAATGCTTTGATGATAAGATTTTTCGATAGAGTGTTTTTGTATTATGATATGGTTGAATATTCTCCACGTTTTAAAAATATTTGGATTTATACCCACCCCACAAAGTAGGGCGCCCGAATGGTACATTTTTTAAAATAGAATCCCCTGTATTTGAATGCATTTTTCATTTCTACGTACGTTTTTTTATGCTTAACATCCGGAAAACTAGTGGTTTTACAGATAATTCGATTTTTAAGAAAAATTGGATATTTGCAAGCGTCAGTGTATTGTCAAAATTATTACTTGAATTTTGATTCCAGGTTTTATATCTTTCATCCTGGGTTAAGTAAAAGTGATCTACTATGAAACATTAAAAAATAGCTTACAGAGTGTTTTTTTGGTAGGTCCAAAGTTGCAAAACTTCATATTAAAAAATCTCACGTTTTTTAAATAGAACACCCTGTATATGTTTCTGTCATCTTTTAGCCCCTCCAAAATGGCCTTTTCTGCATGGCCACCTCGTTATTATGTAAAATACATATATAACTTATTTAAGATTAGAATATAAAAACCAGGAAAACCAAGATATTTCGAAAACTATCAGAGATAGGTATAGGACATTATTATCAAAAGTTGAAGGTTTTTGGGGGAGCTAAAAGATGACAGAAGAATTTACAGGATGTTCCATTTAAAAAAGTGAGATTTTTTAATATGAAGTTTTGCAACTTTGGACCTACCAAAAAAAAACACCCTGTTTTTAATGTTTCATAGTAGATGTATTTATTTGACTTTTACTTAACCCAGGATAAAAGATATAAAACCTGGAATCAAAATTTAAGTAATAATTTTGACAATTTATTCTGACGCTTGCAAATGCCCAATTTTTCTTAAAAATCGAATTATCTTTAAAACTACTAACTTTTTGGATTATTAACCATATAATAAAAAAGACGTACAATTGCACGTAGAATCCAAAAATGAATTCAAATATAGGGGATTCTATTTAAAAAAATATACCATTTGGGCGCCCTACTTTGTGGGCGCACCCTGTATAATCCCAAATATTTTTAAAATGTGAGAATATTCAACCATATTATAATACAAAAGCACTCTATCGAAAAATCTTATCTTCAAGGCATTAAGATACTCCGCGCAATCGTTGACTCACCCTGTACATCAACCATATGAATAT